CGGCCTCGTTTCGCTTCGACGGCTTTCAGCCTCACCCTGCTTCATTCTACTACTTTAATAAATCATTAGCTCATCCATGAACATGATTTCTGCCTGAGTCCCGTCGGATTGCATCGGCTGTGGGGATGAAGACCACAACTCCCATGATTCCACACTCAGTCACAGCCGTCATCAAACTACGCCTTTGTTTCTTTGTTTATTTCGAATATGCGCCCTCTAGCGGTGAAAAATTACATATTGTGCCTTTAAGGACGAATTTACAAGGTTGCTGAATAAAATTAAAAAGTTTTTTTGTTTGCATCATATTCCTCATTTCACACCACATTTCCCCTTCAAATCAGGACAGTCAGGATAATGAGCAAAGGAGAGACAGGTAAAAGAAAAAAACTGGCTGTAAGTAAGACAAGATAATTCATAATGTTTTTCAGGTGGGATCAGGCTGCTGCCTACCTAGTGAACACTCAGTATCAGGTTATTTAAGTACACAGTCAGCAGCGTTTTTGGGCATTGTAGGTACAACATGACCCAGACCGGGCTTTTGATGGCCAAAAATGCCATCTAGACAAGCAGCTAACTAGCTAAATATCCTAGTACTTGATGGAAATGTTTAAAACTCATGCAGTTGATTTTCTATCATTTTGTCTTTTATCTTTTTGTTCTTGACTTCTTTGAAGCCTTTGAAGTTTTTCTTCTTCTTTATCTTCACTATTGTTGCATAATGAAAGTTTCTTGAATTTTAAATACTATTCCGAGCATTTTTCAGTGGAAATGACACTTTTCAAGTGACTTTTGGTGTGAAATCTTCTTGTACACAATTAGACATGAGCAGCATGTGTGATGCTAACTGAATGTTATGACATAAAGTCTAATGGTGAGATCTGAATGAATGGAGGTGGTCCACACACTGGTAGTGAACATTCACTAGCATACAGAGAGAGTGTGTCTGAACCCCGAACATTATCAGGAAGGCTATTCCAGAGTTTGGGAGCCAAATGCGAAAAAGCTCTACCTCCTTTAGTGGACTTTGCTATCCTAGGTACTACCAAAAGTCCAGAGTTTTGCACTTTTACATTGAAAGCATTAATGCAAGCGTGTCCCTGCCTTGTTGTCTCTTGTCACACAGACAAACCATATCTCACTCCTCCTGAAGGACCAAACGCAAGAAAACCATGCCGTTGTTATCTGTGAATCTTTTTGAGAAAAATCTGCACTTTTATTAATGATATGGTTTGTTTGTTATGACAAATGCATGCAACATTATAAACATGCGTATCACGCGTTAAGATAGTCATCATTTTCTTTGGCATTGTAGCTGAGGTGTGTATGTCACACTGCTGATTTTCTGACATTGTCCGTTCTCTTGCAGTCATGGAGATGACCTCATCGTTACACCGTTTGCACAGGTCAGTGACACAGGAAGCAGTTCAGGGTGAATTCTCTCATCCAGGCCATTAAAGTCAACATGAAACTCTTTTGCAACCAATTTTACTGCCATAATATGACGTATCACACAGTTCAACAGGATATAAAGTGAGAAACATTGTAGGGAAAGACTTTTATCCATAATGAACTGACTGATGTTAAACGTTTTTGTTTTTGGATAAACATGCAGAAGTGAATTGTGCACAAAAAGTATGTCATCTTGACTTTACACCATATTTAATCATACAAAGAATGCATTTTTATAGTTTTCAACATCGTATTTCAGCTTCATGTGTGATTAAAGCCTCAGAATTTGAAGGACGTTTCACAAATACTCAGTTTGTCCTTAATATTCTGTTAAGGTTAAATGTCAAATACATGTTACTGACCTCAGGTGTTTTGCTCTTCTCTTGAAGGTGCTGGCTAGTTTGAGGACGGTACGGAATAACTTTGCAGCGTTAACCAACCTCCAGCAAGATCGTGCATCTAACAAGTGAGTGCAGTTACGTCAATGGACCATTGTTGATGTGCAAAAGGAGCAGAAGAGGAAAATCACCTGATACTTTGACTGCAAGAATCAAATGTATTAATATCTATAATTTTCACAGGCGATCCCCCATGTATAATCAGCCTCCTCTCACAAAGGCCTCCTTCACAGGTGAGATGGTTTCCCTTTGGTTTTTATATTATTTCAGGAATTTAATAGTAATTAACTTAGATTTTAAACCTCTTCACTCTCTTCTGCTCTCCATTTACTCCAATTATTTATGGAGATCTCAGTAGTGTTTGTTCTTTCCTGTTGGTTGTGAAGGATTTGGTACTTTACTGCTGTCATAGCAGCCTCTAGGGAGCGACAAAACACCTTTCATTCATGCAGTAACTTCCTTTTTTTTTCAGCAAGGCTGCTCAATTTTGCAACGCTAGCGTTTAACTTAATACACATTTCTGCATTACTGTAGAAAAGAGATGCACTACATGGCCAAAAGTTTGTGGACATCCAGTGGAAAGCCTTCCTAGAAGGTTGCAAGCTGTTATTAAAGTCCAATAGTTTTGAAATTACATGCTTTAGATGGTTTCCCATTGGTTTTGATGTTATTTCAGTAATTTAATAATAATAAACAGATTTTAAACCTCTAAACTGAATTAATATCAGTCTAAACGGTGTTATTTACCTCAGTGGTCTCGTGCTTTACATGTGCTTTTCAATTCAATTGATGTGCAGTATTAACATTGAACATTTATATTAAAAATATCTGACTTTTGATTGCAGACTTTGGCAGATCTGAGCTCAGTTTGAGATCTGAAACACTAGAGGAGACGCATGAGATTACTGGGGTGTTTTTCTCAGGAGAAACATCTGAGAAGGAGATCAACACCACATTAAATACCAGTCATTTTGACGTTAGATGCTTATAAAGCACTAATAGGTCTGGTCTTTGGGCGTATGCATTTTTTTTTTAATAAATCTGCAAAAATGTCAACAATTCTGTGTTTTTCTGTAAATATAGGGTGCTGTGTGTACATTAATGAGGAAAAAAAATTAACTTACATGATTTTAGCAAATGGCTGCAATATAACAAAGAGTGAAAAATTTAAGGGGGTCTGAATACTTTCCGTACCCACTGTAGATGCATGAGGAACATGTCTTCCAAAAGAAGTAAACATGGCCTGCTTTGACATTCGTGAATCTTTCACCCCATTCGAATTGTGCAAAGCTGTTATTAATAGATGTGGCGCAGCTGGCAGCCCACCATTCTGACATGATACTCGCAAACGCACGCCATCTCGCTTTCATGCTCGGCCAGAGACTTGCTTCCAGTTCGGGAAAGCACGTGTTGGTGTCTTGCTGGAACTCGCAAGATGAGTCCGTCAATCAAGATGCTCCCCATCACTTGTCCATCACGCAAATGTCTGATATGGAAACCGTCATAAATGCACACAACACTTCCCCAGTTTAGTGCACGTGCTAACTGTGTATTCAGGCCATTTGAAAAATCAAAGTTGCACTTTCCTCAGTGGCACCTGCCGATATGGACTGATTCGGTCCATTATCGGCTCCTTCTATATTTAGCAGCTGCTTAAAACACAGAGGTCCCGCCCCTTGCTTTCTAAAGATCTGACAGCGGTTGCCTGGCAACCTGACGGTGGATGGCATAAGCATCTCAAAAAGACGGAGTCTCACGAGAATTACCTGGTTTTCCACAGGGGCGCCTCTCCGAACGTGGGGTCTAGGTGATCTCGGGCTGCTTTTCTACAGGTGTTTGCGTCAGCCTGAGGCTTCTGTTTCCCACGGCTGCTTTCTCGCTATTACTGGAGAGGTCTTTTGTATTTCAAGACTGCCGATCCACTGAGGGGTGCTTGAGTGAAATTTGATGAACTATATGGGTCAGTCGTTTACTTTAGAGAAATGCCACCACTGAGATGTGGTTTTTATTGATTTGAATTCAGCATAATTTAGCAGCAAAACAGGTGAAACATCAGGTTTGGACATTCTGGAAATAGTAAAATGGGTTTACCAGGTGTTTTTTGTATCATATTTTCAGAAAGAAAAAGTCTAAAATGTCCAAGTCATGTTTCACTACAAAAGCAAACCGTTTAATTGGAGCCTATTTTATGACCATAATTTGCAAGCTTGCTTATTTGTTTGTTTATTTGCCTTCAATTTAAATAAATATTAAAATACTACATAATACTACTAATACTATTTAAATACTATAGAATATCAATAAATTGTATAATAATTTGTATTAGATTTAACATTATTGTCATTGTTATTATATATATACACACATATGGGTCGGTAAGATTTTAATTATTAATGCTTTTGAAAGTCAAGTGCTCACTAAGGCTGCATTTTTTGATCAAAAATACAGTATAGGCAGTAATATTGTGAAAAATTATAAATATTATTACAATTTAAAATAACTATTTTCTGTTTAAATATATTTTAAAATATAATTTATTCCTGTAATCAAAGCTGAATTTTCAGCATCATTACTCCAGTCTTCATTGTCACATGATCTTCAGAAATCATTCTGATATGCTGATTTACTGCTCAAGAAACATTTCTGATTATTATCATATAATTGAAAACAGTTGTGCTGCTTCATATTTTTGTGGAAACCGTGATGCAATTTTTTTCAGGAATATTTGAAAGAACAGAAATAGATTTGAATGTAAATTTATTTGAAATAGAAATCTTTTGTAACATTATAGAAGTCTTACTGTCACGTTTGATCAATTTAATGCATCTTTGCAGAATAAAATAATTAATGTATACATAGCACCTCAAGGTTGGTTTCGGATCAAATTCAAACAGTTTTGATTGTTTTAAAATAGGCTTTTATGCTCTAAAATATTTTGATTTTGAGTTGAAAAATTACACGGATATTTCTTGACCAAGGGAAGCACCAAAATCTTTTTACTCTCTGAATTGCTTTATTTTAAAATGGCAGCTTTTATTTAGTGTCTAGCCTGCAGTCAGAGAGTGTGTTTGCTCGGTCTCTGGCGTTCCTCTCTTGTGGACTCCACTCCAGAGTTTGGCTGCAGTCCTGTCCTGCTCTCAGTCACAGCAGCTTCTGAGGGGCCGGCCTCTGGTGTCGCACTGAACACAAGAAGAATGCCATTGACGTCAGAGGAGATGTTGTCAGCAAGGACAGTGGACCCCTGCTCTTGAATTCTCCTCAAAGTGATTGGACAGCCGTTTGAGGAGAGGGCTAAAGAAATGGGGGAGTTGGGGCAGAGAGGATGCCACACATGATGTGATCATTTCCCCCATTTTTCCACCCTTTTCCCTTCTTAAACCTTTCATCTATGCTTTTTCTCTTTCTTTGTGGGGCTAGTGGGTCACCAAGCTGTTTTTTCCTCCCTGACCCTTGAATTATGATAGACAAAGCTGCTGCTGACCCGAGTGTGTTGCATGCTCTGAGTCAGAGCTGAGCTGAGTGTGCACAGCGCTGACACACGCAAAGCTGCATGCCAAATTTTCTCAGTATAGTACTCTAAAGGTTGCTCCGTAACAATAGCACCAAGATCCTGTGACCTGTGAAGTGCGTGTTGTGATTGTGTCACGCTTGTTTTGATGAATGCTCTTGTTGTAACTTTAGCTCTCCTCTGTGTAACTCAATACACACGAGTAGAATTGCAACATTTTGTCAGCACAGTTTGAGTTATTGTTTATCGGCTGTGCAGTATGAACATATGCACATCTTGTGACGCAGGTTAAGGATTTAAATGCACTAGTCATAACTGCACAGCCCCGACATAATCCAGGATTATGAAAAAATGAAATCTGGCCCTGAACGGATCACATTGGTCCCATAACAAGGATTAATTTTCAGTGGTTATCTGCGTAGATTGACTGTCACGTAATCTTCGAGCATCACAGTGATTGAATCTGCGCAAATCAGCTAAAGTAAACAACCTCCCAGGAGCATTCTGGGACATGAAAGAGCAGTTTCTGTCATGAGTAAAGCCACCTCTCCCATCTTCCCCCATTCTGAAGCTAGTGGGACTCCTGTGGATGTGGTTGTTTGCTGCTGTTGTTTGTTTAAGGCTGTTTGTTTAGGGCTGCTTATACTTTAGATATGTACTTGCACACTTACACTATCTACTATTTTTTACTACTTTTAATTTTATTATTTTTAGTTTTGAAATCACATTCTTCATAAGTGAATTTAGGCATCTAAATGTCATAATTTACCATAGAAAATATGTAAACACAATAAAAAAGAATAATTGTTTAATACTTTTGAAACATTAATTAAAAAAGAGCTTATTTGGAAAATAAAATAAAAAATTTATAATAATATTATCTAATAATATTATTTTATCTATATCAGCCTAATAAGACTTTATAATGCATCTCAAAATTTTTAGTTTTACATTTTTATTAGTGATTTTGGTTCAGGCCAGTTAGCCCATATATAGTATCAGTATTAATTGTTTATTATTTTATATATATAGTTTTTTATTGATTTATTGGCCCATATTTGTCCATTTTGTGATTTATATATATATATAGACATAACTGCAGCTACACATTTGTAACAGAGATCTGGCCCATTTGCTGACAACAGTGAGTCTGCAGGGATGCTCGGCTCCTGCTCCAGCGCTCTGGTCCAGATCTTGCGCCTCTCGCTGCGTCGTGCTCTCCAGCTCTGTAGGTTTGTGGTTTCACAGGAAGCCGCTCATGTTTGTGTAAAGCAATGCCTCCTATGTCATGTCTGTGTAGCTGTGGTGCTGCGCGGCTCTCTCACTGTGTTGCTTGTGCATGCTCTTCTTTTACGACTCTGTTGCCCGAGCTCTCCAGGAACACTGGGCAAAGCCCGTCGCTTCATATAGGGGTCTGGATCTCTGTCTAGGGGGGATTTAAAGCCGGTAGGAGGTGCTGAGGGGGGACCCTTTGCGTTTTTTTCTCTTTTGTTGTGAGACAAAGCGTCAGCTATAAGACATCCTCTGAAGTTCATGGACCTGTGGAGGAGACTGATTCTAAAACGGCATACGGACATGGGATTGTTCAGGCAACCCGCTGGGAATCAGTAGAAGCGGATTAAAAAGGGAATCTCTGTGCTTGTATGTGTGTGTCTGTTTTGTTTTCTAGGAGCATGGGGCTCCGGTGCGCTCTACACCAAGAGCCCTGCACGGCTGGACTGAAAGCGGTGTGACTCGGTTTTATTGCGTCGACCGGCTCTGGAGTTTTTAGAGGGCAAGGAGCAGCTCGTTGTTGATCTTTTAGCCCTGATCTTTTCAGCACAGCATGAAGAGTCACCCATGTGTCCGCCCTGGGCATCCCAGCATGGCTGTGTACGACGTGGACGATGTCCGGGAAGCCTTGGCTAGCCCGGTCAAACGGCTCAAAACTGACCATCCCCTTCCCTGTCTCCCTCCAGAGGAGGCCTACCAGAAACTGGCCACCGAGACCCTGGAGGAGCTGGACTGGTGCCTGGACCAGCTGGAGACCCTGCAGACCCGACACTCCGTCAGCGAGATGGCCTCCAACAAGGTGAGTCACTGTTCAACTTCCCACCTAACACATGGTATTTTCCACTCGCGTCCCTCTCGGGAGCTTACGTCGCACCTAAGAATGAAGGGCTTCCCCTTGACTTAATGTCATTACCGCCGCTGCCCAGGGGAGCTCAGGTAATTGGTGTGATTTGGCAGGGCTGTTGGCTCGCAGACGGGAGACGTTATCAGGTAGCGTAGAGCCAAGATGGCTGCCCCAGGGGGTGCAGTTTCAGGGAGATACACATACGAGTCATGTACGTGCAGGATTGTGAGTCAGGGTTGTCCATCACGCATCCTGCTTCGGCACGGCCGACGACGTCCGACGGCTCGATGCGCTATCAAAACACCAAATGCTTGTTGCCCCACTGTGTGAGTATAATCAACTGTGTCCTTTACGCTGGTGTCTGTTTATGCATGCATGCATGTGTGCATGTCTAGCCCATGCTGGAAGACCTTAAGTCAGATTGAAGCGTCGTTGTCGTTGAAATCGTGGGTCTATTCTTGTGGCAGGGAGGTCAGATTGCTGGGGATCATGTTTAGTATTGCTGATGACTGCACAGGCATCTTTTAATGTGGCATGCCGCTGTGCCCAAGACTGCAGTCTCCAGCAAAGCTTCCCTTTAATTCCTTTTTGTGGAGGGGGTTAGGGAAATACGGGATAGAGGTCTTGTTTTGGTTTATGTGTTTGGTGCGGGTCTAAGAGGAGGGGAGGTGCCGGTATTACTGAAGGTCATGAATCATTTTTCACATTGGAACTGGGTGATATAATGTTTGTTGTCATGTAAATTTTGTGGATTTTGGTACTTTGAATTATTGTTCCACAAACTGGATATTTACATTTTTAAAGAAAAGATGAGTGGTGTTTGCATGTGCAAAACTCATGTTATGATGGCAGGGAGTTGTGAACGGTTGCCAGGGTGTTGCTGTGTGATTGCTAGACTGTTCTAGGTGGTTTCTGGGGATTTCTAGGCAGTGTGATATATTGTATTATAGTATGATATATATATATGTGTGTGTGTGTGTGTGTGTGTGTGTGTGTGTGTGTGTGTGTAGGATAAAAAAAAAA